TGAGTATTTTGACTCTAACGCCGTTATTTATCGAGCAAATTTGAATATTTTTTTTACCAAAATGATCAGTGAAACGAGCTCTACAAAATCCTCTAGACGAAAAAATTTTCTGAAAAACTTATAGTTTTCGTAATTGACTATTAATGAAAATATCTATCAAAAATACGTGTCGCGTTAATTTTGTCCTTGGTAGATAGGCTGACTTATTCAATTGCAATATAATACTAGACCTCCACTCGAGCGAAGCTCGAGTAGATAAGGCGGCTGACTGCACGAGCCCGAAAAATATCAAAATAGGAGTGTATATGACATCTGCTATTTCAAAATCGTAGCCGTCCCTAGAGAAAATCATGCTGAATTTAACTCGAGTTTAGCTGTATTCACTCAGCTGACAAGTGAGAGATAATGAATGTGATCAGCTATCGCCATATAAGGAAACATTCAGCTGTTCATTATCGTATTGCTCATTTCATCTATATAAGCCATGGCCAGATTTTCTTGATTGCTCGAGACTCTTTCTTGGATGAATTTAAGTCGCATAAGACGATAATTAAATTGTATATGCATTTAACATCTGAGATATTAATGGTCGTTTCAGGTTGAATCATACATTACCATATAAGGAAACTAGCAGCTGTTAATTATTATTTTACATATATTTATTATCTCCCGAACGGAATGGAATTCTGAAAAACGGATTTCAGATGTGCACTCGTCACGTTCTCGCGATCTCGACAAACTTTTTCTCAATGTGAAACGGTGCTTAGTTGCGGTAAACGAGTAGCTGACTTGAATCGTGACTCATGTGTTGAGAAGAAGAAGAAGAAGAAGACTAGACTGCCACTCGAGCTTTGCTCGAGTAGAAAAAAGGCGGCTGACTGCGCAATGACCGACGATCTCTAAGTCCGATCGTAAACGACATCTGCTAATTCTAAATTTAAGGCTCGCATGGAGGAAATTGTAATGAATTTCAGTCGCGTTCAGCTATCTTCGCTCAGACGACAAGTGAGAGATAATGAATCTGAATCATATATGCCCATATAAGGAAACTCTCAGCTGTTTATTATCATTCTTTGTGTTTTATCTGTATAAGCCATGAAAAGATTTTCTAAACATTAGAGACTCCTTCATGGATGGATTTAAATCACGCAGAATGATAATTAAAATATGTATGCATTTAATATCTTAGATATGAATAGTCATCTAAGATTGAATCATACAAAGCCATATACGGAAAGTATCAGCTGTTAATTATCATTTTCAACATTTTCTATATCTTCCGAACGGTACCGAATTTCGGAAAACGGATTTCAGATGTGCACTCGTCACGTTCTCAGGATCTCGTCAAACTTTTTTTCTACTGAAAATGGTGCTCAGGAGCTGAGAACGAGTGGCTGACTTAAATCGTGACTCATGCGTCGAGAACAAGGAGAAGAAGAAGAAGAAGAAGAAGAAGAATTTACTATGGCAACTAAGCGAGTGAAAAGCAATAAGTCGGCGACTGCACTTCGTGCAGTCAGCCGCCTTAAAGAAGAAGAAGAAGAAGAAGAATTTGCCATGGTAACTAAGCGAGTGAAAAGCAATAAGTCGGCGACTGCATTTCGTGCAGTCAGCCGCCTTAAAGAAGAAGAAGAATTTGCCATGGCAACTAAGCGAGTGAAAAGCAATAAGTCGGCTACTACACTTCGTGCAGTCAGCCGCCTTAAAGAAGAAGAAGAAGAATTTGCCATGGCAACTAAGCGAGTGAAAAGCAATAATGTGGCTAACTGCACTTCGTGCAGTCAGCCGCCTTAAAGTGCAGTAGTCGCCTTAATGAAATATATAATCTTCACTAATGTTCATTTTAATATAAAATAGCTCTAACTAATATAAATAAATAGCGATAATGTTCGAATTTGTATTTTATATAAAATTATCCCGCACAGATCTCTATTTATTTGAATTGTTAGAATTAAAAAAAAATCATACGTTCTCTAATAAACGTCATTTTAGGAAGTTCCTTTAGCATGTCAATCAGACAAATGTAACAAGCATTTGTTTTAAGTATTTGGATTTTTAGATACAATAGAAAAATGTTTTCGAAATAATAAGTTTCTAAAATAGTATCAATAATTAACAAAAACTTCTTATATAAAATTACACAAAAACTATGTTTAAATTACCAAAAAGTCAGTGAGTGATTGACATTACCATTTTTATCATCTATTATTGATTGTTCTTGATCAAAATTTTTTATGAACTTTAGCAACACTTTTCAGTATGAATATTGATGTTAAATTTGAAAACTTTTTTTAAACATTTTTCCAGAATATTTTTCTACTCGGTCTAGTATACATAAAAAACTTATAAAGTTTTCGAAATTATTTTTCGTTCCTTCAATCATCATATATCATTCAATGTAAATTTTTTTTTGAACACCGCTCTTTAATGATTAAACTTTCTGTTTCATTGATAGTGTGGATTTCCTTAGACATTTTTACATCTTTTCAACTACTTAAAGTCTCGTAAACGAAATTTTTATGTCAAAAAAAATATGCAAAGAGAACTATGCGAATGTACCAAAATACTAACTAGGCAAACGGTTGATTCTGAATTTTTATCATTTATCATTTTAGAAGGTGATTAAGTGTAGTAATGTTTTAGATATTTTTTTTTTATATTCGAGCTTCTTGGTCTTAGGAGGGACCGTAGAAAAAACTTCTCCAGTATTATATATACTATATTTATTAGTGGGATCAGTTATGAATGTTTTTATTTACAAAGCGTTGAACTTGTATCTTCTTGATTACAAAAGAATTATAATTTTTAATTTAAATTTTATATAGCATAATATTACTCTATTATTTCACTTGTAGATGATCTGCATTTTTCTGCAAGTTATGATGTTGGTCATCATCCAGTGAATACCTAATTCATATTTGAATTATCGTTTTATTTTGTCTTTGAAAAAGAATATTAGCCTTAAAATGAAATGAATTCATAACAATTTTCTAGATAATTATGGAAACAAATGAAAGTGGTTCAGATATTGTTGAACAAATAACCCATACAGTTGAGAATACAACGTACGTTCAATAATTTAATTCAAGTTTATAAAAATTTCATTTTTCAGAAACATTGATATCATAACACGTACCGACCGACATTCCATCGGATCGAATACCAATGATACTAATTATAATTCACAAATAAGTTAGTTTCAAATAATTATTAAAAATACTGCTAGACTTTGATGGATTTATCAATAGTAATCAATTATATTACAAAAAAGTATACTATTTAAGAATAGTACACCCGTTGTAAATAATCTTGAATCACGCTATGAATTTAGTAGCGTTGACCTATGTTTTGACAAAAAAAACTACATTGATTTGTTTTAAATTGCAAATACTCAGTAATATTTATATAATTATTATCTTGCTAAACTAGCAAAAGAAAATATACATCATAACTGTTTCTGAAACGTGACCCTAACGAGAAACTCAAATTATTCTTTTTGATTTTAATAGTATCCTCACTGTGTAATTTAGATGAAGATACAGGGTTGGAACCGGTCCGGTAAAGACCGGAATTTTACCGGTTGAAAGTTTTCAAAAATCTTCTTTGTTAACCCTGTTTTTGACCATAAAAACTAAGGTATCACATGTTTTTTCTGTCAGAATACGTGAAAAAGTACTCAAAATATATGTTATATTAATCGTTTTTTCTGAGGTTCTCTTTAAAAAGATTTATTATGATGAGTGCCTTTTACATGCGCCTTAAACTATTTCATATTTGGAGCCATTTTTCTAAAAATCGGTTTTCAAAAAAAAATTCGACATTTTTCCGCCGGTTGGACATGTGATTCCAACCGGCCGGTTTCCGGCCGGACCGGACCGGTAGGATTTTTCAACCGGTCGGACCGGACCGTTTTAATATTTCTCAACTGGTTCCACCCCTGTGAAGATATAATATTAATCAATATTTCACAAATTAATACAGATATTACACATCCGTGAGTTTTCCCATTATCATACTAGCAAGTCTGTTCAAAAAATACATTTAAAACTGATTTTGCCTCTTCAATAAATGTCTAATTATTTATGCTTTAAAAATTTAATTATATTTTTTTATTTTTACCCAAGATATAACGAATATATTTTTTTTCTATTGTTTTTTCTTTTTTTTTGTAATGCTCCTCATTTTTTTTTATATAATTTTTGCTCGTACATATTTACTATATAGATGGAAAATACGTGCGCTTGTTTCTTGTGAATATCCAAAACGAACATTTACTAATTTAAATGGCATTGGAGAAGTATCTAATTGGGATCTAAGTGATCAAACAGGGTCAATAACTATGGTTGCCTTCAACCTCAATTCTCACATGATGAGTGGAAAAATAAAAAAGAAGCAGGTAATTCAATAGAAAAAAAAGAAAGTAATACTTATAAGATATTACAGGTTTATGAATTTACAAACTTAACTATTCGTACTACATCAAATGCATTTAAAACAATGTCGCACTCGTTTCAATTAGTTTGTACAAGCTCAACACACGTACGAGAAATTGATTTGACTATTAGTCCAGTACAACCAGCTCACAACTTAACTCATCTAAATGAAGTGAACTCAATAGAATTAAATTCAATAATTGGTAAATATTGCGTTAGTTGTTTCATACATCAAAAAACCGAGATGGGCAAATTAGGTTTTTTACCCACGTGAAATCACGTCATTAATAAAAAAAGCATTCAGATCAAGTCGAGTCAGGCTCCAAGTGAAAGTCTTTTTCAAGTCAAGTGTTTTTGAGAAGTCAAGTCGTGAATTTGAGATTACTCTAAAATTTATTACTAATCCTATATAAATTTATTGAACAAAAAATTTTACATTTACTTCTGATTACGTTTTAATATTAGTTTTATTTGTAATGTTTTTCTTGACATTTTCGATCTATGTTGTCATTAATATTATCTATCATGAATAATGAGCAATTTTCTATAGATTTTAATACTAAAAAAAAAGAACAGAATTTCCTGATAGGACAAAGAAAAATAACATTATGCCTTATCAACTTAATATGCATCACAGTTACAGAGATATATCTGATTTGACTTGCCTACTTCTGCAAAGAAACGTGCCGATAACTAGATAATCAAAAATTAATTTGCTACAAAAAGCAGTTGTTGTATGAAAGACATAGTAATAAATTCTATAGACAAGCTAAAATGATCCTTTGTTTACATGATATGAGAGGTGCTTAACATTTATCAAAATCGATGCAGCATAGCGATATTAGAAATTATTTATCGACATACAAATAGACAATATATTTCAGTCACTTTACGAGTCAAATGAGTAAAAACGTTTCAAAATGGACATCATTTCATATTTGAATAATATATATTCTACCAGTAATATTACGAGTAAATATTTTATATCGATTTATATAGATATACAAGTGCAAGTTTTACGAGATTATGGTATTTCAACTGGTACTTTTAATAATTGTGTATGGACTCGTAGAGATTTACATGTTGCTCAAGATGGAATACATATTAAGTTATCATTATGGAACGATCAAGTAATTCATTTTTTAATCTTGTAAATTATTACCTTTATACGCCATTGGTAGGCTCGGTTAGTAACTCGAAATATGGTTGGACTTTGCCTTAAATTAAAAAATGTAAAGATTTCGTGGTTCGATGGTATGTAGGGTCAATATTTTACTATTTTAATATAGTATAATGAAAATAGGAGCTTTCATTTAGATTTACTATAAAGTATCATATTCATGTTTTTTATTTCTCATAGGATCACGTACACTTAGCACAATGGACAACACTCAGTTATTAATTATTTAATTACTAATTTATTGTATTTTAATAAGTTTGCTTTGATTTCGTGTATTTCTTTTTATCATAAAAACAATGAAAAGTACCAACTTGACTATCGAATAAATAATAAAATCGAATACATATATATTAATCTAGTACTTGTCTAATGCGATAAAAGAATCAATAACTTTTCAAATTTCTGATGACTGATTAAAACTATCGTAAGAAAAAATTTAATTTCATACAAAAGTATTGATCAGTACAATAAGTGGAAAATAATGGTTAAAGAAGCAACAAATTCAATAAAGCATATCTTCAAAAATTTAAAACCGTAAATCATGATCGATTTCTACAATGTTATTTATGGATCGAAAATAATAAGAATATTCTTTCATTAAGCTTCTATTTACTTAAAAGAAACCAAAATACGCATCAATTATTTTATTTTTCAAGAAAAATATTAAAGGCCTCTTATGATAGTTTTTGCGTGAAATTCAACTATAGACTCATTTTAATAGATTTTTATTGATTCTTATAAATTAGTAAAAATTTTAACGGGTCTCAGTCCTTGTTTATTTTTTAATATAGCTAATTGAATTATTAATTATTATGACACAAATCGAAACTACAATAAAACGTCTTTTTCCAAATAAAATTATCGAGTATCGAGGGTGTGGGTGTGAGTGAAGAGAGAACCCACACCCACACCCACACCCCACACCCACACCCCACGCCCACACCCCACGCCCACACCCCACGCCCACACCCATCTATATTTTAATTCTCTTGCTAAAGTAAAAATGAATCTGTTATATATTTTGTAACAATCTTGAATATACCACGTATCATTAAATAAAAAAGTGTCTTGCGATGCATTTAGAAAGAATTAAAATTTGATCTCAAAAAGAATCATTGTCAAACATATTATTCTGTTTCTCATTGGTAGAGATATTTTATGATATATACAAGTTAACGCGACGCAAACGTCGCTGACCCTCTACTGAAAGGATATGATGCTGCAGAGATTGAGGTATTTGAGCAGGAAAATACAATAACTACTGTATTGGCACACATATTGGGTAAGGACTATATAAACAACTTCTATACTATTTTTGGATGGGACACATCAAATTATACTGGGAAAACCATTTCGACTTTTCTAGAATTTTCGTATGAAAGAAATTTGTGAAGACTATCGTATACAAGAATGAAAAAAAAATACGTCACAATCCTGACCTGTACAAACCGTTCGCTGATCTGTGGAACATTATATTCTTGAATCGAGCTCTTTCCTTCTCACTTGACATTGAACTTAGACAAATGATAGAATCTTACTTTAAAATCGTTTGTAATCCCTAATGAAAGTATTAATAAAGTGAAAACGTCAGCTTACCATCGTCTTTAGCAACTGCAATTCTTTAAACACTAGTTGCTCTTCAAAACTCATTTTCTACAAATCCAAATCCAAAAACGCACGACAAGTTCATCCGCATCCTCAAAAATTTCATTTTCTCACACCATAGCTTCACAACACGGGATTGGCTCGAGTACCACTCTGCAAAATTTCCTTCGCCAAGGACCCGCTTCGAAAAATGCCAGATTCCGCCAATTTGGTCGCCTCGCAATATACTTCATTGATGGCTTATATGGAAAAGGCCGTGATGGGCTCAATTTCGGTTGCGCGAAATCCCATTGGCTAAGACCCCATCTCGGAAGTCCTCGCATTGGACCGATTTCGGCGCTGAAAAATCACATCGACTGTTGGCCCATATCGAAAAAACCTTCGTTGGCTGAACTTCAGTTGCGCAAAATCTCATACGCCGATGAGCCATAACCACAAACACGTGATTGGCTCAGCTTTCCTTGCGCAAAATCTTATTGACTACTCTCCCACATCGAAAAACCCCTCATTAGCTAGTCCTCAGCTTCGCAACATCCCACTGCCTAAGCGCCCATATCTGAAAATCCTTGATTAGCTGGACTTCCATAGTGCAGTATCCCCTTGCCCGAGCGCCCATACCGCAAAACCTCTGATGTCTCGATTTTCGCTTCGCGAAATCCCATTGGCTAAAAGTCTATACCGCAAAAACCTCTGTTTGGTTCTATTTCGGCTTCGCGAAATCTCATTGACTAAGAGCCCATATGGGAATACCTCTGATTGGCTTGACTTCACCTCCGCGAAATCCCATTGGCTAAGAGTCCACATCGGAAAACATCCGACTGGCTCGATTTCCGCTTCGCCAGATCTCATTGGCTAGGAGCCCGTATGGAGAAACCTCTGATTGGCTTGACTTCGTCTCCACGAAATCCCATTGGGTAAGAGTCCATATGGGAAAACATCTGATTGGCTCGATTTCTGCTTCGCCAAATTCCATTGGCTGAGGGCCCATATGAGAAAACCTCTGATTGGCTTGATTTCGGCTTCGCGAAATCCTATTGGCCAAGAGGCTATAGAGAAAAACCTCTGATTGGCTCGATTTCGGCTTCGCCAAATCTCATTGGCTAAGAGCCCATATGGGAAAATCTCTCATTGGCTCGATTTCGTCTCCGCGAGATCTCATTGGCTAAGAGCCCATATGTGAAAACCTCGGATTGGCTTGATTTCAGCTTCGCGAAATCTCATTGGCCAAGAGCCTATAGGAGAAAACCTGTAAT